GTTGAATTTAGGGTCTCTTACTCAGCAGGCAGATCCTGTGCCGCTGCGCTTCATCCCCAGGCTGGTTTTTTGAGACAGGTTCTCGCTATGGAGTTCAGGCTGGGCTTGAACTCACTAGGGTAGCCCAGGCTGGCCTCAAAACTCAAAGCATGCTGGGATTCCAGGCATGTGCCATCACACCCAGCTGTCAATTTTATTAGTCTTCTCAAAGGGCAGACTTTTGGTTTCATAAATTTTTGTCTATTGTTTTTTCTTTGCTATCTAACAGATCTCCAGTTTGACTTTTATTATTTCCTTTATTTTGAGTTCAGTGTTTTCTTTTTCTCCTAAATTCTTAGGGTAAAAGCTCATATCACTGATTTGAGGTATTCTTTTCTGATATAAGCATTTAGTTCATGAACTTATATCTAAGTATGGCCAGCCTTCGTATCTGCAGGTTATACACCTGAAAACTGAACCAAACGCAGGTCAAAATCTGAAGAAAATTGCATCTCTACTGAATAGGTAGAGACTTTTTCTTGCCATTTACATTGTATTAAGTATGATAAGTAATCTAGAGGTTATATGTAAATGCTATGCCTTTTTATATAAGGGACTTGAGTACCCATAGATTTTGATATCCAAGGGGGTCCTGGAACTGACATCCCACAGATACTGAGAGGCAACTGCACTGCTTTAGCTGTGTCCTTTCAATCTGGATATCTTCTCATTTTCATTCAACAACTTTTTTTTTTTTTGTCCTGGGAATTGAATTCACAACCTCGCACTTGCCAGGCAGGAGCTGTGCCGCTGAGATACTTCTTGATTTGCTTTTTTATTTCTCCTTTGACCAAATGATTACTCAGCATACATTTATTGGAGATGTTACAGATATCTTTTTTATTGGCCTCTCACTCAGAGAACATACTTCATGTTATTTGAACCTTTAAGTTTATTGAAACTTGTTTTGTTTTGTTTTGTTTGCCTTTTTGAGACAGGGTCTCACTATGCAGTTCGGGCTGGCCTTAAGCGCACTTTGTAGCCCAGGCTGGTCTTGAACTCGCAATGAACCTCCTGCCTCAGCCCCCGAGTGCCGGGATTACAGGCGTGCACCACTATGCCCGGCTAGTGAAACTTGTTTTATGCCCAGAATATAGTTTATCTTGGTAAGCACACTTGAAAAGAATATTCTGCTGTTACCAAGTTATTCAAGTGTCCATATCCTTACTGTATTCTCACTTTCTGCTTATCCTATCAATTACTGAAAGAGGACTCTCTAAGATTGTAGATTTGTCTATTTCCTTTTTCATTCCTATGAACTTTGTATTGTGAAGGTGCTATTTGATACATAGTAACTTGGAATGTTATATTTTCAGATGACCATTTTATCATTACTCAGTTTTTTATTGTTGTTGTTTTGTTTTGTTTTTTGCCTTTTTGAGAAAGGGTTTCACTATGCAGTTGGGGCTGGCCTTGAACTCACTTTGTAGCCCAGGTGGGCCTCAAACTCACCATAATCCTCCTGCTTCAGCCTCCCAGTCCTCCTGGGATTACAGGCATGTGCCACCACACCCAGCTCATTACTCAGTTTTATTCCTAGTAATATTCTTTGTTGAGGTTGAAATTGTTTCTTTTGATTAGTTTTAGTGACATGTATTTTTTTTGGTGCTTTTACATTTAACATATTTGTCTTTTTTTGGAAACTAAGTTGACAGCATATAGTTGAGCTTTGTCTTTCTGTACAGTCTGATAATCTCTGCCTCTTAATTGCAGGGTTTAAGCCATATACAGCTAGTGTAACTACTGATATGTCTGAGTTTTAATCAACTTTCTTACTATTTACCCTTTTTTTGTTTGTGACAGAGTCTCAGTTTGTACTCCAGGCTGGCCTTGAAATCACGGTGATCCTCCTGCCTCAGCCTCCTGAGTGCTGGGATTGCAGGCATGCACCCCCACACTTGGCTCTGTTTACTTTCTATTTGTCCTATCTGCCTTCCCTCCTCCTTTTTATCTTGTCTTAGAAGGAGTGTTTGGAATGATTCTATGTTATCTTCTTTGTTGGCTTATTGGCTGTACCTTTCTCTTATTTTAGGATGTGAATTTTTCTTTTAAAAGTGACATTAAATTGAGCCCTCCAGTTTATATAATGAAAATCAAACCACCTAAACCAATCACTGGTAAGTATGGTTCAGCTAATATTCTCTTTCCTTCTGCCACTGACTTCTCCATTTTTTTCCTTCTCAACCTTTCTCCACAATTTCCTATTTTTTCTATTTATTAGTGTCTAATTAAATGCATGGTTTTGAAGGAGACATTTTTAAGACTCATAAGCTCTGAGATCTAAAAACAAATAAAGAAGCAGACATTACAGAGATGAATCAGAAGGTCAGGAAAGGGAGACGTCACAGCTGATTGTCAGGTGGGATCCACTCCCCACTTCCTGGGTAACTCACTCCTCAGTGTTTGCCAAGTCCCCACTGCACAGCAAGTGAGACCCATCTCCTCCGAACTCACGGTGCCTGGGGGAGAATGGAAGAATGCCACCAGGGGGCGTGATGCTCAAGTACGGTAGCCAGGAAGGTATAGGACCCGGAAACAGAGTGGAGGGAGTGGCCAATGGCCGGGGAGCAGGCAGAGGCTTTAGCAGAAGCAGGGTTTTGAAGGGTAAGTGGGGGCTGACTAAGAGGAGAAGAGGCCAAGAGTCACTGCAGGCAGGGAACAGAGAGTGCGTCCTCTCAGTACTCAGAAGGGGCCACAAGACACCGACAGCAATGCTCACTGTGACATCATTTGCACAGGAAACAGACTGTAGGATGAACTCTGCTACACTTATACAAAAGAATACTCTGCAACCATTAAAATACAAGGAGCGAAGCCTGGCATGGTAGCACATGCCTGTGATCCCACTTACTTGAGTGGCTGAAGCAGGAGGATTGCAAGTTTGAGCCCAGGCTGTGCAACTTAGTGAAACAAAATTATAGACCAGTGGTACAGCAAGCTAACAAACAAAAGGAAAAGATAGGGAATATGATGGATCAAGAACAGCCAGTTTGGCCGGTGATATAGCTCTGTGGCACAAGAGCCTGCCTGGTAAGTGGAACGTCCTGAGTTTGATTCCCAGTACCAAAACAAACAAACAAACAAAAGAATAGCCAGTTTGCTTTTTTTTTTTTATTCTAAAACTACAGGAACAAAGAAAAGATTAATAAAAAATAAAAATATAGATTGAATATAGAAATATAGATAGGTGGAAATAGTAGAAAGAAAACTAGATGCATGAAACAAGATGGAAAGGTTAGAACATAAATAAATGACCCCAGCATAAGTGGACACTTGTGATGTAACCGAGGTACACTACAGAGAAGGGGAGAAAAATGGTCACTGCAGTCACTGGTGCCGGTTCCCTGTATCCTCACCAACACTTGGTATGGTCAGTCTCTTAAATTTTAGCCATCCTGGGGGGTGTTTAGTAATATCTCATTATGAGTTTAATTTACATTTCCCTTGATCACTAATGATAATGAGCACCTTTCCATGTGTTTATTGGCCACTTGAAGTATCTCTCCTTGTGAAGAGCCTGTATTATACTGGATTATTTATGGAATAAAAAGTTCTTAATAATTTATAGGAATTCTTTATTCTGGATATGGATCATTAGTAAGTTTTATGCATTTTGCAAACATCTTTTCCCACTATATGACTTGGTCTTTTATGCTTTTAGTGATGAGCCTGGTGAGTAGAAGTTTTTAACTTTAATGTAGTCAAATTATCTGATTTTTCTTTTATTGGAAGTTATTTTTGCGTCTTACAAAATCTTCCCCTATCTCGAGGTCATAAAGGTATTGCTTATATTGTTTTTAAGAGCTTCATTGTTCTACCTTTCATATTTGCCTCTGCAGTTCACCTGGAATTTAGTCTTGTGTGTGGTGTGAGGTGGGGACCATGTTGGCTGGGCTGGAGGAGTGGGAGGAGGGAGGGCAGCTGCTCTCCCAGGCCCTGTGAGCTGGAAACCTGGGGACTGGGTACCTGGGACCCCAGGCTGACTGCAGAATAAGAATGGAAGATGAGGCTTCTGCAGGGATGTGACAAGCATGGAGGGAAGAAGGAGAACTCAAGAAGGGGAGGCACTCTGACTAATTGTGCAATATTCTCAATCAAAGGCACCACATTTAAAAGCCCCCTGGAAGTCTTTGCAAAGGTCGAAGACTGCTCTGGGCTGGGCTCCGGGCAGAACCACTTCATCAGGGACAGCCAGTGGGAGCAGCACACAGAGCTGTTCCATGCCTCCTACAAGAAGTACCTGGACAAGGAGCTGGGAGAAGAGCCGCTCAGGTGAGCCTGAGGCCCGGCCCAGGCCTGCTTCGGGGAGCCCCGGCGCACAAAGGGATCAACCCAAAGACCAGGGTTAGGCCCAGTCTGGAAGCTCTTTCTGGGTTGGGGGAATTTTTAGAGAACTTCTGCAGAGTTTTTTTTGACATTTTGTATGAAGATTGTTTAAGTACAAAAGCTGAAAACATGGATTAAAAAGAAGGAATAGCTGGGGGTGCAGTTTAGTGATAGAGCACTTGCCTGGCATTGCCTGAGGTCGTGGGTTTGATACACACCACTGGGGGGGAAAAAAAAGAATGTAGAACTATGGAAGTGAGAAATAGAGTTTATTTTACTGTTTTATGTATAGCATCTCTTTAAAATTTTTCCCTGATTTTCTAAAAAACAGAAGATCCTAAAAGTGGAAATGAAAGTCACCACTATTAACATTTTTCTCTCCTTCCTTCCTGCCTTCCTAAATGTAATACAGATGTATAATTATTATAATTCATTACTATATTTTTTTCAGTATTGGGATCAAACACAGGGCCTCATGCATGCTAGGCAAGCATTATATCACAGAACCACATTCCTGCCCCTTTTTATTTTATTCTGAGACAGAGTCATGCTAAGTTGCCCAGGCTGGCCTTGAACTTGCAATCCTCTTGCCCCAGCCTCTCAGCTGGGATTACAGACATAACTTCTAATGTATTATAATAAATACACCAGTCAGCAGTGAGGCCTCAGGAACCCACGCTGTGATGGTAGAAACCACGCCCACTCTTGGAAGTATCTGTGGTGGAGGTGGTTTTCTGAATAAACTCTCCTCACAGCTGCTCACTTTCACACAGGAAGTGAAACCTCTCATCTTGCTGTCAGGTGGACCTTGAATTTCCTACTTTGAGACACACAGTCTGAGGACCAAGTCCTAACAACTCCCTGTTACTGAGCTAGACCCCTACCCAGGCTCAATGATGTGCTGCAGCCTGCCCCTACAGCCAAGCAAGATATGGTATTTAGGGATTTTTGAAAACCAGTTGTTACACTGTTGCTAATAGTCTCTTGGACATGAAAATCTGTAAACCCTACAAAGCAAGTTCTTTTACTTTAAGGCCCATCATTAGACCAGTTTTCATCACTGTGCCAAAATGTCAGAGAACAGCAATTTAAAGAAAGATGCTAAGTGTGGTGCCGCACACTTCTAATCCCAGCACTCAGGAGGCTGAGGCAGATGGATTTCTGTGAGCTGGGGGCCATCCTGGGCTACACAGTGAGACCTTGTCTCAAAGGCAAACAAAACACACACACACACACAAAAAAGGGTCAATTTCTCTCATGGCTTCTCAGCTAGAGATGAAGCGGAGAGGGAAAGAGACAGAGAGACAGGAAGGGGCTGCAGACAAGATATACCCTTCAAGGGCACCCTGCCAGTGACCTGCTTCCTCCACTGTGTGCCACCTCCTGGTCGTTCATCCTGCTATGATCTTATCAGCAGATGAATCTATTGACGCCGTCAGGACCCTCATAATCCAGTCATTCTGCAGGCCCCACCCCTGAACATTCCTACTTGAGTCTTTCAGGGACACTTCGTATTTCAACCATGACACCCAGCTTCTCAGCACACCACTGGGTGTGTGGTCCCTAGGATGGGGAGCATTTAGGCAGATCACCCAAGTCAACTCGGTCATTCAGGGCTCTTCCCCAGGATAGAGGGGCCTCTTCCATGGCAACTCAGCCCCAGCAGAACCTCTGCCCTGCCCCACACTGGCCTGGGAGTGCTCTACCATGCCACCCTCACCAGCATCCCAGCATCTTCATGTCCCACCAGGACCAGCACCTGAAAAGCTATTACCTGGCAGCCTCCGGCCACTGGGAAGATCCTCCCTGGCTGTCTGCTTGTGGTCCAAAACCGAGAGCCCACCAGACCCTAGCCGAGACCCCTCCTGGCCAAGGAGCCTGACTGCATCTCCTTGCTTCGCAGCACCGCCACGTTCCACTTCCTCCTTCCTAGCTGCATCACCACCCCGCCCGCGGAAGCCAGGAGCCCCTCAGGTAAACGCACATGTCCAGACAGTTGCCCTGGCAACGAGTCACCTCAGGGAGAGCCCCCAAACTGCCCTCCTGAGAGATGACTCCGGCCAGTCCTGCAGTGGGAGGGGGTGGGCATGGACATCAGGTCACCAGCAGCGGCTTAACGGTTGCTGTTGGGATCTGCACCTGAGCTCAGAGTTCCTGATAGTAAAGCCTGGCACCCATCTTCCGGGAGCAGCCCTGGGGGTGCCTGCTCCTCACCCCAGAAGCTCCTGGGCCCCACAAGCAGCTTTCAATTTCCAGCCACCTCCCTTGAGCCCACTCCTCCCATGTGGACTGGAGGCCACGCAAACACGTCACCTCACACCGCTCTTCTCCGCTTCCCCAGGGGTGGCCTACGTCCTGGGCATACACTGGACCGGAAGCCACAACTTCTTCCTCTATTTGCTGAGCCGCTCTCTGAAGGACAAAGCCGGTACTTTTCCCTGAGACTGGGCGCGTGCGTGTGTGTGTGTGTGTGTGTGTGTGTGTGTGTGTGTGCGCGTGCGCACGCACGCACGTGCACGCCTGAGCTCGGGGCTGAGAACAGGTCCTCCTGGGCTGCACCGAGAGTGTGTGACAGAGATGTAGCGGTGTCCCTTCCAGCAGCCAGAGGGCGGAAGTGGGGGTCCATCCTGAGCTAACATCCCAGGCCAAGAGGGACAAAGACCAGAGTCAGGTCCTCAGGGCACACCCAGCAACTAAGGTGACAGGAGGGGGGGGCGCCCAGCTGGCCAGTGCCAGGCCCCGCTCCTCTGGCTGGGAAGAGTGGCTGCAGCTGGACACCTTATACCCCAGCCTGGCTTCTCGCCCGGGACACAGGGCTAGGTGAGGCCACGCTCTCTGCTGGGATGTGAAGAGGGCAGAGTTTCCCTGTGTGAAGGCCCTTGGCATGGATGGGCACCAAGGAAACGTGGGTGCTTTGCTTTCCCCCTATTCATTCATTCAGCAGACAGACACAAACTCACTGTGTCAAGGCCTGGCACGGTGTGCCTGTTACACTTCAGTGTGGTACCCCAAAAGTCATGCTACAAATCTGCAAAGAAGGAATTTCCTTTCTTCTGCCCTCTCCAGGCAGCTTGGCTCCTAGTCTCCACTGCTCCACTGACTGGCCATGTGGCCTTGGGCAAGTGACTTCCTGCCCTGCCTCAGCCTCCCCCTCTGTAAAATGGGGCGAGGGGTACTAATTTCATAGAACCCTTTCAGGAACTAAACTGAATGGGACCTGCAGAGCCCCTGGCCCTGGGTCTCAAACCTGGAAAGTGCTTTACCCCATCCTGAGGAGGGCAGGCAGCACCCGGGAAGAGGAGCAAGGTGGCGAGCCTGTGCAGTCAGGGCTCCCGGTGCCTAGGCCCCACGGAGGGAGGCTGCGGGGCTGCAGGTCATCGGGGGCGGGTGGTCGGCAGGACGGGTCCTGGGGCAGCCGGTAAGCAGCGTCCTCCCCGCAGAACCCGAGAGCGTGTGGCCTTGCGCTGCACCCATCACCGCCTCGAGGCTCAGCTGCTCCTCTTCCTACCTGGTGCTGGCCTGCGAGGATGGCGTGCTCACGCTGTGGGACGTGGCGGAAGGTGAGCCTCCTCCCCCTCCAGCCCCTGCTGGGTCTCTGGCTGTGGCACCGGAGCAGGAAGTCCCAAGGCCTTGGGAATTCACCATCCGATCTCCCAGAGCCCCACCCACGCACGCGTGAGGCTTTGGGGGTCATCCAGGTATAAACCACGGCACTTACTGAGCGTAATAATATGTGCGGCGCTCGCCAGCACCAAGTACCAGTGAGTGTGTGCCATGTGCACGCTGCCGTGCCAGCTGCTGGAGTGCCGCCGTTGCCCTTCTGATGGCACCCCTGCCCAAGTGTCTCCCAGCACAGGAGAGCCTGCTGCAGCCTCTGCGCCCTCCAGCCCGGGCTCTCAAGCAAGTTTTCTTCCTCTGTCTCCCCGTCCACTTGGTGAGTCGGTGGGCAGGAGCCCCCTGGCCCAGAGCAGCCAACAGCAGCTGGAGTGGGTGGTGCCCCGCGGGGGTCTGGCCCGGGGCCACTTTGCAGGTGCAGGAGTCAGTGGCACCGGTTTCCCTGAAATGGATCGGCCGGGGTGAGACCCGCCCACCAGCCTATAAAGGCGCCCTTCTCCCGGGTGCAGCGCGCTTTGCCACTCCTAAGCCCTCCACACAGCGTCCTTTCATCTTCCCGGATGCCAGCAAATCCTGTTCTCCCTCCTCTTCTGAAAGCCCGCGGCGGGCGCATACCTTCGGAGCCCAACCCCAGCCCAGCCCGGCCCGCGTCAGTCCTGGCTGGCTCATCCTGCCTCCGCCACCTGCTAGCTCTGCGCCCTCTGCAGGCTTGGTTCTCCCGCTCGCCAGCTCCTCCTCAGAGCTTGCAGGGCACCAGGAGCCTGATTTTGCTGCCAAAAGCCCCTGTTGCTTGGCTCTGCCCCCTCCCAGCCCCTCACCACTGCCTGGCCACAGACCCAGTGCCCGCGGCTGCCATCCCCAAGCCACTCCTGCCCGACCAGCCCATGTGATTTCTTTCTGCAGGGTTCCCCCTAGGGGTCATCGCCCTGCCTGAGGGATGCTTCTGCCAGAGCATTCACTTCCTAAAGTACTTCTTGGTCCACAAGGGACGGAACCTGTATCCAGAGGGCCCGGTAAAATCCCAAGTGCAGTGTGTCGTGCTGTGCACCAATACTTCCCTCCACCTGGTGACAGCCAGCGGCACACAGGGACCCACCAGCCGGGTGCTCGTGAGCAGGTGGGTGGCCGGGGGCGGACGGGGCCCACAACCCGCTAGACAGATGACACTATTCCATGGGGAAGACAGGCAGTCCCCGTGGTCGCCACTGTCCTGCCTAGCTGCTCCCATCGTGGTGTCACGGGTGGATGTCACATTTTTTAACACTGTATGATGGGATGTGACATCTTCCAGATGCCACCGGAGCAAGGAGAGACGCATGTCTGCCGACATAACCTTCCATCAGTTCCCCCACGATCGCTCCCTTTTAATGTTTAAAAAGAGTTTATGCACCCAATCTATACTGTGCGTGTGCTTGTGTGTGTGCACGCGTATGTGTGCGCACATGTGCGTGTGTGTGCGCGTGCGTGTGCGAGTGTGTGTATGAAAAGAATAATGGGTTGAATTCCCCTTGCCCACTGGAAACCGATCCGCTCCAGTTCCACTGAGGCTCCTGTGCCCCCAGCCTCAGCCTCCTAGCTCCCCCATACAGGGTGTTAATCTATTGCTACAGAACCCAACCACCCCAAAACCTAGCGGCTTAAGAAAGAAGCCCCTGTGAGCCCCGATTCTACGAGGCTCGCCCTTCAGCCTTCCCAGCTGTCAGGGTGACCTCACCCACGCACCAGCAGGGGGCGCCTGGGCTCTGCTCCTCCGGCCTCGCCCCCTGGGCTTCTCACCTCCCTTACCAGTCTTGATGTGCCCCGCAGCAAGGCAGGGGCAGCTCCCCGCCCCGTGCCTTTCAGCCTCTGCTCAGGTGACAGCTGCTAACGTTCCTATACATCCTCCAACTTGTCCCCTGTATTTATTGTAACTTGCTTCGCAACATTATGAGAGTTACAGGTATCGCTGCCACCGTATCTCCTGGTGTGCATGCCCAGAGTTTCCCCAGGAGAGAAGTAAAATTTTGCAAATCTCAGGACAGTGTTGTGTCCTGCAGGTCTGCGAAGCATCTGGATGAAGCCATCTGCGCAGTGGCCCCAGTCCCCACCTTGCCTGGCATGGTAGGTGCCATACGCCTCACGTTCCTCTTCTGTGAATGTGTTTCCATTTTTCCTTCAAAAAGCACTCGTGTGTTGGACTGGGGACAAAGCTCAGCGGTAAAGCACTTGCGTAGCACACGCAAGGCGGGTGTTTGATCCCTGGCACTGCAAAGGAAGCAAATGATCTGTCTGGTGACAGCCTGCTGTGTACTGGGTACAGGAGAGGCTGTGGGTAGCAGATAGAAAGGAGAAAGCCCGGGCCGGGGTGCTGCTCAGTGCAGGAGCCTGTGTTCAATCCCAGCACCAAAGACAAACAAATTGAAAGATAAAATCCCTGCATGCCTGGAGCTCACAGTTCATTCAGACGGACAGACCTGTCAGCCGGCAGCTGCCCCAGGACTCAGGAAAGGCTGTGATGGGATTCTGAGATGGAGGCGTGGGCCAGAGGAGGTCCCCAATTCGACTTGCAGAGGTTGGCATGGGAGGAGAACGGGACAGGAAGTGACAGCTGAGCTTCACCAGGGAGCCCAGGAGCTCGCAGCGGGGCGGGGACACGGAGGGCCGTGCAGACTGCTCAGAGTCAGATCTCTGGGCGTGAGGCACGTGGGGCGGTGCAGGGTTACAGGGGTGCAGAGGGACCGGCTGCAGAGGATATGCGCACCTGCCCCCAGGACGGGGCTGGAGAGTGGGGCAGTGGAGAGGGGGAGCTGTGAGGAGGGAGACCCACGGGAGAGAGGCGTGGCACTGATCCCCCGACGACCGTGACGCCGCGGCTGTGTCCGTGTGTGGCCCTGCAGAGCACCAAGGCCTAGAGGACACCAGGGGCGGCTCCAAGGGACCGCAGTTGAGAATGTCCGTTCAGAGCTCACCAGCCGGTTAGCGAGGGGTCGCGGTGGAAGCGGGTGCCAGGAGCTCTCCTAGTCATGAGGGGGCAGAGAGGGCCACGGATCTGTGCCATCACTTACAGGACAGGAACGTGGGCTCGCAGAGTGACTGAGAGGGGCCCCAAGGAGAGCTCCAGCGAGGTCCTGCAGCTGGGCAAGGGGTGGGCGGGGTCGTGTAGAGGAGAACCACGCACTTTTTTTTTTTCTTGGTACCGGGAATCAAACTCAGGACCTTGTGCTTGCCAGGCAGGTGCTTATGCCACTGAGCTACATCCCCGGCCCAACCACGCACCTTCTTGTGGCATCAGGTGTTCCAGGAGGGGATAAGTGACAGGGGGTGGGAGTGGAGCGGGTGACAAGGCCAGCTGTGCGAGGGACAGGAAGTACTGTGGCAGCAGGAGGGGTCACAGGGTTATGGAGGGGACAGAGCCTGGCAGGAGAGACCACTCAGATCCCAGGCGGGGGACACGGGGGAAGGGGTGTCAGGAGCCCAGGCGCTGGGCACAAGGAGGCTGGCGAGACCTGGGGCAGAAGCCAGCCCCGGATCAGGCAGGAGGTCAGCGTGCGTGCGTGCATGTCCCCCACTGTCTGGGAGGGGAGAGAGCTGGCCACGCGGGAGCCCAAACATTCCCTGTGCCTGTGTTGTATGTCCAGCTGCTTCTGGCACTCCGGCTGAGGTGACCCCTGTGCCCCGCCATCCATCGGGGACCGAGACCAGTAGGGTCCCCACTTGCCACCGCCCTGTGTCCCAGGTGCTGATCTTTGCCAGGAACGGCTCTATGAGCCTCCTGGATGTGGCCAAGGCTGAAGTCGTCTGCGCCTTCGCTCTGCCCAGGGGCCCCCAGCCGGCCGTGCCCTGGAAGCCCCTGTTTGCTGTGTCCCTACACCACCCTTGCTTCCTGCTCCGAGGTGAGGAAGGGGATGGGGACCCGCCCAGCCCCAAGGAGAGCCCTCTGCAAAGCAAGCGACCCCACCCAGACCCCTCCCCACCGCGTCCTCCCCCAAGGGCCGCAGGATGCCCAGCCCGTCCTCACAGGGCTCTCTGATCAAAGGCTGTGGTCTCCCTGGAGTCACCCTGTCTGACCACTCTCCCCACCCCCAGCCCACAGCCCTGGGCGGGCAGTTGCTCAGGTTTGGGGCTCCCGTTCCTCGCAGGTGACCGTCCAGGGAAAGAGGAGCGCACCAGTGATGCCAAGAGCACCCAGAATTCTGTGTTCTGCTTTAATTTTGAGGCCTACCCGCTCTTGGAAAATCTCTCCAAAAATCGTACCATTCCCCAAGAGGACTCAACAGAGAACATGGCGTTGCCACTGGAGAAAAGATGTGAGCTCGTGCTCCAGAAGAGGTAAGGGTTTCGGTGGCTAGATCCCCCAGGACCGGGTACGCATCTGGGATGGAGAGGAAGCAGTTTGCTTTGCTGTCAGGTCCCTTGGGTGCCTCACCACGCCCCTCCCCGGGGCCACACTGCCCTTCCTCCGGGGAAGAGAGTAATTCAGGCTGTGGGGGAAGGAAGGCTTCGGCTGAATGTCTTCCCCGTGTGAGCATCTTTTCTTTCTCATTTTCTGAGTGTGTTTTTTCAAAAGCACACTCAGCTTATTAGGCAGGGATTAGGACAGGGCAAACTATGATCATAGTTGACCCACTGCCCCGTTTGGAAAATAAGGTTGATTTGGTTTGGTTTTGGTGCTGGGGATTGAAACTGCGACGTTGCATGTGCTGGGCAAGTTGCTGTGCCACCGAGCCTGACTCCAGCTGCTTATAAATAAAGTTTTATACAAACACAGTCCTGCCCCCTTGGTCACTGTCACCTATGGTCGCTGTGTGCTACAATAGCAGAGCTGAATAGTGACAGCAAAGACCCCATGACCCAGACAGCTAGCTTATTCATTCTCTGCCCCTTTACAGGAAAAGTTTGCCAACTCCTTTATCCATCGCCTAGAACAGTGGTGGTGAGACTATGGTGTGCATGCCACAGGCTGTTCCTAGCATGGAAGGCTCTTAAAGGTTCACCATCCCTGACTTCGACAATGGTCATAGGCAGATCCTTTCTCTGCTACCCTACACCCCAAAGCTTGCTTGCTCCCCCACCCCACCCCCAGTGCCACCAGCACAGTGACCTGTCCTGCCATCCTAGCGCAGCCAGCAGTCTCTCCTAGTCCAGCTCACGATGAGCAGCTGGGCATTCGCATGACAACACATGTAAAGTGGCAGGTACAGGGCAGCTCCTTAATAAATGGTAGATAGGACAAGGGTCATATGTCCCCCCTCCTTAATTCAGAATGCCTGCGGGAGCCAGATGTGGCGGTGCGTGCCTATCACCCCAGCACTTGGGAGGCTGAGGCAGGAGAATTGCTGTGAGTTCAAGGCCAGCCTGAGCTACACAGTGAGTTTAAGATCACCCTGAATTACAGAGCAAGACCCTGTCTCAAAAAGCAAAAAAAAAACAGGGCCGGGGATATAGCTCAGTGGCATAAGTACCAGCGTAGCAAAAGCAAGGTCCTGAGTTTAATTCCCGGTACAAAAAAAAAGAGTAAAAAAACCACTCGGGAGGCTGAGGCGGGATTTCCATGAGTGTGAGGCCAGCCTGGGCTACATAAGTGAGTTCAAGGGCTGCCAGGGCTGCTTAGCAAGACCCTGTCTCCAACCCTGCCCTGCAGAAAACATAACAAAACGAAGCCTGGGGGAATTCTGGACATCACCACTAGGTGGCACTACAGCTCACCCCTGCTCTGCAGCTCTGGCGTTTAACCTGTCTCCTCTCCTCTCCCTTTACTCTCCCTCTCTCCTGCCCTCCTTTCTTTTCCTGAGGAGGGGGAGGGGAACTGGGGATGGAGCCCAGGCCTTGAGCATGCTAAGCAAGTGCTCATTCACTGAGCTGCACCCTCAGCCCCTAGCTGCGACAGCTATGCCCTGCCTACAAGGTGCCAGGCTGCGGGCAGAAGCCGGTCCATTCATCAGGGAAGAAGTCTCCTGAGTCCTAGGAGTGGCAGCGGGATGGTGGAGGAGACCCTTGACATCACCCTCTATTAAAGCTTTTACGGACAGAGCTGGGCTCTTCACATGGGGACTTCCTCTTCTACCCCCTGATGACCTGCCGTTAGGAGACACAGCTGGAGAATTTAGGGGGAAGTGTCATAATGTCTACAACCTCCTTTCAAGTGGCCTGGGAAAATATTTATAGACAGACACAGTTAAAATGTTAACAGGTGGTGAAATTTAGGAAAATGTTTATGGAGAGAGAAAGACAGGGAGATAAAACATTAACAGCTGGTGAAGCTAGGCGAAGGTTCATTTCTATAGGTTTGAAATTTTTCAGGATAATGCCAGGTGTGGCAGAGCACTCCTGTAATCCCAGCACTTGGAAGTCTGAGGAAGGGGCACTGCTGTAAATTCAAGGCCAGCCTGGGCTCCATACTGAGTTCAAGGCCAGTCTGAACCACATAGTGAGGCCCTGGCTCAAAAAACCTAAATAAATAAATAAAAATAAAAAGACAGGACCAGGGATCTAGCTCGGTGGCGCAGTGTCTGCCTGGCAAGCATGAGGTTCTCAGTTTGATTCTCCGTACTTCCCCCAAAAAAAGATGAACAATGTTATAAAATATTACTTACAATATAATCCCAATTTTGTCTCTTTTTTGGAGACAGGGTCTCGCTATGCAGTTCAGGCTGGCCTTGAGCTCACTTTATAGCCTAGGCGGGTCTCGAACTCACAACAATCCTCCTGCCTCAGCCTCCAAGTGCTGGGATTATAAGCATGCGCCACCATGCCCAGTTTATAATCCCGATTTTGAGTAAAAGAGACAATGAGACGTGTGTACAACAGTAGAAACTGGTTAGATTTGGGTGATGGAAGTGTATGTGGTGGTTTTTCGTTGTGTTTTCTCTGTTTGCAACTTTTCTGTCAAAAACATGGGTTGTTGGGCCGGGGATATAGCTCAGTGGCATAAGCGCCTGCTTGGCAAGCGCAAGGTCCTGAGTTTGATTCCCAATATCAAATAAATAAATAAACATACTCCACACTGCACCTCGGATGCCTAATGCTGGGGAGCAGAGGTCAGTGAACTTACTGAAAAAATATGAGTGGTTCCAGAGAACAGATGAAAAATAATGGTGAAAAATAGGTCAAGGGCCTGAGGTCAGCCATGCGGCGCCAGGAGATCTCCTCACCAGGGCTGTGGTCTGGAGCTTCCTGGGGCCGCCCAGGGGCCTGAGAACTGCTGGCTGGGAGAGCAGGTCCCCATTTCTTCCATCCTTACCCAAGCCCCTCCTTTCCCTGGCCTACACTGACCAGGCCCCCCAGTGTTCAGGCACCTGCTGAGCCCTCTCTCAGCTCACAGAAAAGGCCTCCCCTTGCCCAAAAGAAGAGTGGAAGTGCTGTCCCCATTTTTTCTGTTATCCGATATAAATACCTGCAGAAATCTGAAAACCAAGAAGATGCCACCCAGGAAATTTAAATAACCCATAATCCTACCACTAGAAACCACCAGTAATCTGACTTTATGTCACTCCAGAATATAATTTAGTGGTTTGGGTTTTTTTTTTTTTTTTGTCTTTTTGAGGCAGGGTCTCACTGTGCAGTTCAGGCTGATCTTGAGCTCACTTTGTAGTCCAGGCTGGTCTCAAACTTGCAACGATCCTCCTGCCTCAGCCTCCCAAGTGCTGGGATTACCAGCGTGTGCCACCACACCCAGCTTAATTTAGTGGTTTTTTTAAATTTTGAGAAAATCATTTCTGTTGTTAGCTTCCTGCCCCTCTAAGAAAATACCTGAGATAATAACCGTATAGACTGAAAGGCTGGCTAGAGATTTCCATCTGGATGGACAGGGCCATTGCTTTGGGCCTGTGGGGGGAGCAATTGGCCCAGGGAAGTTGTGGCATCTCAAAACGGCTCCCCACGTGACCTGGAAGCAAAAGAGAGGACAAGAAAGGGGCCGGGCAGTGACCTCGGGACCTCCCTTTGGGCCGTGCTCTTAGACGTTCCCACCAGCACTCCACAGTGTTGCACTAAAGACCAAACTAACACCCAGACCTTGGGGGACATTCAGCATCCAGAATCGAGCATTTGTAAATATGGGCTTGGGTTTTGGTTTTTGGTGGTACTGGGGTTCGAACCCAGGGCCTTTGGATTCAGTTACATCCCTAGCCTCTCCCACTTCTTTTTTTTTTTTTTTTTTTTTTTGAGACATAGTCTCCCCAAGTTGCCCAAGCTGGGCTCAAACTTGCAGTCCTCCTGCCTCAGCCTCCCAGTGTGCTGGGACACCGGGTGCTCACCACTTCCCTCAGTGGCAGTGTAATATTACACCTTGTAAGGAGACATCCTTCTCTGACTCCCATTCTCTGAACTGCTGAGGCCCATCCTGTCCCCCAGGGAACGGAAGGCACTCTTCCAGCTCCCCTGTCCCCAGGAGGGGTCGCTGTAGCTGGCCCCGGGGCAGAGCGCCGCCTCCAGGCAGCTTCGGAAGGGAAGAGGCTGCCGTGAGCCGCCGGAGCAGCGGGCAGGGGCAGACCTGGGGCCCAGGGCACACAGGAAAGCGGAGAGCTGGCGGGGCCCTGCCCGTGGCCGGGGACAGGCCCGGCCTCCTGCTGACCGCAGAGATCGCATTTCCTTGGTCCCCAGCCCAGTGTTCGAATCACACTTTCTAGTTTGGGTCTTAGAAATAGATCAGGAAACAGTGGGTTCTAAGAAGGCTCCTCCTGTCCCGCCTGCTCTGAGGCCCGGTGCCTGGGGCCTTCCCACCTATTCCCAACATATCGCAGAGGGGTCCCAACAGGCGGCAGCTCTGAGAATCGCTGCAGCGCTCGAGCCCGCAGCGTTAACAGCTGACACGCCGCCCATACCAGTCTAAACGCTTGAGTTCTCAGCTGTGTATTTTTTCCTGTTTACACCTGTGTCTGAAATACTTTCCACTGGCCCTGAGACTCAGTGAAACTGGGTTCATGTGGCTTCAGAGTCAGAGTTTCAAGCTAGTGATAGTCTGTCCACACTGTCTTCAAATCCACACCGGGACCTGGGTGACCACCCCATGGGGCACAGAGCTGCCTTCAGGGAGGCACCAAACGCGAGTTCTCACCCCACAGTCCTGCCAGCCCCACCTCCATGGGCCTGAACTACTTGTCTCTGACTGGGTTATTTTTTTTTTCTTTCCTTCTTTCAATTGGGGATTGAACCCAGGACCTTTGCACTGAGCTACATCCCCCTTTTGTAAATTTTGAGACGGGATCTTGCTAAGTCACTAAATTTCCCAGGCTGGGCTGGCACTTCACGTCCCCCTGCCTCAGCTTCCCAGAATGCTGGGGTTACAGGTGTGCACCACGGTGCCCAGCTTAGGTCAAACTTCTGTCACAAGGAGACAGAATGGAGAGGAGACCAGGGAGCAGGCAGAAGCAAAGCAGCTCCACGTATTCCATGTGGAATAAAAACCCCAGCAAGAAGCAGGTTCTCGGGGCTGGGGATTTAGCTCAGCGGCAAAAGCGCCTGCCTGGCAAGCGCAAGGCAGTGAGTTCGGTTCCCGGTACCGGAGAAAAACCAAAAAAAAAAAAAAAAAGCAGGTTCTCCCTGCTCACTTCCTGCCAGAGGGGGATCCAGGGTGACCCAGCTGCCCCCATCCACACAGCACACGGCTCCCTTGTGGAGAGCAGCAAGCCCCGTGTGACACACTAGGTGACTTCATCAAGGTGAGGGAGGAGTGGCATTGAGAACCCCTCCTGACCAACCCGTGGAGCTGAACTCGGAGCCTGTCCCGACTTTCCTTTGCGGCTCTTGAGACACAAGGCACAACCCTCTCCCAAAGTGGCTGCTGCTGGCACAGCAGATGCGCCCCTGCTCTCCCCTCCCGCCGCCCTGAGCCGCTGTCCTTGGAATACGCGCGCACTCTGCGCCACTGTCCCGTGCACGAAAAAGCACGCGAAGGGTGCTGACCACCTGGGGCCCAAAGACCTTGGTGGCCGATGCTGGGGAGAAGGTGTGGCTCCCATAACCCCCGGCCACCCTCCCATCTCCCAGGCCGCCCTTCCTACACTGGCTGTGGAAGCAGGCAGGAAAAACAGGAGCTCTGTGTTAGCTTAACTTGGAGGTTAAGCATTAAAATCAGCCTTTCAGCTCTGCATCCAGGGTGGTAAACCTCTCGCCTCTTCTGCGACTGGCCCTGGATTTTCTTCTGCGATGTCCTCCTCTTCTAAGAGTTTTTTCAGTACTGTGGCGAGTATTATTCTGCTTGGGCTTTGGACTGAAGTCATTTGGATTGCTTGTTTAGCCAGATAGAAGCGCTGAATTGTCACCTAGCTGGACCTGAGGAGCGGCTTTGAGCGCATCGAGACCCAGGCACCGCGGGCTCTGCAGACTGCTGCGGGCGGTCCGGCTGAGAGGGCCTGACTCTGGCGCCCTCTAGCGGGTGTCTGGGGCAAAGCCCGCTGACCTCTGAAAACTGGACACCCTGTTTACAGCTACTCTTTATTGCTAGAGCCGCAGAGAAAGCCCTCCTGCTCGCCAGCATCGTGCTTCGCAAATCATCTGTGTCTTCCGTGAGCTGTTCACGATTGTGTTTTAGTCTCTAGTTTCTTCTGTTCAGCTGCCCCTGCAGAGTCATTCACCTATGCGATGTTGTGCTGACCCCTCGGCCCAGCTGCTCCACTTCCATTTATTTATCAGCACCAGCATGGTGCTATTATAATCAGTTAAGCTTTACTGTGCACTTACTATGTGCCGGGTGCTATGCTAAGTGCTTTGCAGGATGATGATGATGACTGAACAGGATCCAGATTTACCTTGAACTCAGTATGTAGTCCAGGCTGACTTCAAGTGCACGATCCTCCTGCCTCAGCCTCCTACATGCTGAGATTATAGTCATGCATCACCTTTATCCTTGTCAGCAGCAGCAGCAGAAAGCTGAGACTTGTAGGACCACCCATCCCAGGATGCCATCGTGTGGGAAGGAGCGGGGGGTGGAGCTGTAGCACATTGAGCTTCTAGCCTGCCCCTTGCCCACACACAGACAAGATCCTTGCACACTAGGGTGTGCACTGCAGCCTGCTGACCCAGCACAGGCCGGGGCCCCTGTGTGCCATAAACAGCGCTGAACACGGGGGGGCGGGGAGGGGAGACTCTAAGTGACAAAACCGTGCACAGCAGTGTGTTGCACACTTCCGTGTGCAACCTCTTTAGATTGAGTGAGTGCGCTGGAGTGGAAAAATGTTAGATACAAAAGAAGCTGTTGGTTATTTGCTTTGGGAACAGAAAGTAAGCATGTGAGGTAAGAGGAGCTTTTATTCTCCGCATTTGCCTACTTACATGTGTTTTTTAAGAAACAATGTATAGGTTACCGTTTTGTTAGATAATTAATGCCAGTATTAGGGACTGAATGCCAGCCTTCACACAGAGCCGTGTCTCCAGCCTGTCTTTCCTTCCTTCCTTCCTCCTTCCTTCCTTTTTTTCTTTCTTTCTGACAGGGTCTCAGTAAGTCACTAACTTGCCCAGCTGAGCAGGAACTTGTGATCCTCTTGTGTCAGCTTCCCAGAGTGCAGGGATCACAGGCACGCAGCATCATTCCCAGTTTGTTGATTGCTTTTTGTTTTGTTTTGTTTTTTGGAGACAGGATCTCACTAGGTAGTCCAGGCTGGCCTCAAACACACAACGCTCTTCTTGCCTCAGCCTCTCAAGGGCTGGGATCACAGGTGTGCACCACCATGCCCCAGCATAGCTTACTTTCTAAGTTAGAATTCCTTGTGTCCACGTAGATGTCTCACACAGTCTCAAAAAACAAATCCAAAGCTACAATCTTTGCCTTTCTCCTCAAAGTGTCCCTCTTGCTGTTTCGGCTGATCTTACTCTGTCACCCAGGGCAGAAGCCTGGGCAGCAGTGCACCCCCACCCCACCCCTGCACCCCCACACCCCACTGACAGTGCCCATCTGCATGCACAGTGCGATGAAATCTCGGCTTGGTCTGTGCCAAACATGGTTTGTTTGTTGTTGTTGTTGTTTTGTCTTTTTGAGACAGGGTCTCACTATGCAGTTCAGGCTGGCCTTGAGCTCACTTAGTAGCCCGGGCTGGTCTCAAACTCACAACGACCCTCCTGCCTCAGCCTCTCGAATGCTGGGATTACAGGTGTGTGCCACCACGCCCAGCTTTTTTTTTTTTTGTCTCTCAAACATGCTTTTATGTGATATCTTTAAGCTCTGATTTGTAAAAGACAGAACCCATACATTTCAGATAAGTGACCTGTGGTCCTTCCCCCTCATGACTGGCTTCATAAGGCCCTTGGGGTCCGTCTTGTGCTATCAAGGGTCAGAATCTCCTTTTTGAAGGCTGAGTAGTAGTCCATCATGTATGCACATCCACTTTTGTTTGCAAACGGGCCTTTCTTCCTCAGTCCAGACCCGCCCATCCACTCATACCTCCTGGCCTGTTCTCAGCGAAGGGTGCCAGCCCTGAGGACCCTAAGATGAACTAGTCGTCATCTTCAGTTTCTCCCTGAGCACAGGGCGACCCAGGTCTGCCCCAGGGCGGGGACCAGGAGGTGGGGAGGCGCCTCTCACCTCTGATTTTGTGGCCCTCAGCTTCCAGAAGCTGAAGAAACCCCAGGTGTCAAAAGACCATGAGTGGACCCGGCTTCGCAGGTACTCCATGCTGCTCCAGAGGGAGAACCTCCGGAGGTGACAGCCACACAGCCGCCGGGGACGCCAAAGAAGATCCCGCCTGGGCAGCCACTCCCAGAATGGGGGACACAGCGACACACAGCCCCAGCCCAAGGGCCCTGGACTTGCGGTCCACAGAGCCGGTGCGGGGAACAGTACCTTGGGGACCACCAAACACTAAGCCCCTTGTCAGTGCCGGGGGTGGGGGACAGTGTGTCACCCGAATAAATAGCAGTTTGTTTCCAGACTCCACGTTGTCATGCTGGGCCCCATCGTCCCCACACACCCCACACCCGGCAGGGCCCGGCTGTGGCTCTCCCGGCACAGGGCGGAGGCCTGCTGGCCTTGGAGGCCGGCGATAGCACTTTCCTCAGCCAGCCAGGCCCCTTCCTCTCCTCCTGCTTCTCCCTCACCCCGCCCGCCCCTGCCTTTACCAGCACCGCCACGGGCTGTGGTGTGGCACCTGGCCGAGCCGCACAAGGTCCTGGGTTCCATCCCCAGCACCACAGAGGAAGAAAGGAAAAGCGCTGCCACCAAGCGAGGACTCACTGGTGGGACGACAGCCTCGGGCCGCCTGGGTGCTGTGGCTGGTAGGACTTGGACCTCTACTGAGTTGCCCACTGGCTCAGGAACCTAGAGGAGATGGGGGGTCCTGGAGACCCTTGCTTCCTAAAAACTGCCCCTCCCAGGGAAACCTGGCATTGTGCTGCACGCCTGTCATCCCAGCACTCAGGAGGCTGAGGCAGGAGGACTGATATAAATTGGAGGCCAGCCTGGGCTACACAGCGAGTTCAAGGCCAGTCTGGACTTATATAGTGAGACCTGTTGCAAAGAAAATAGAAAAAAGGGAGAGGAAAAAGAAGAGGAATAGGAAGAAGAAGGAGAGAGAGAAGCCAAAAGAACCCAAAATAACAGGGAAACTGGGCAGAGGGCCCCCAGCAGCTGAAGGACAGGCCCGCCCCTCTGAGGACACCTCGTGGTTCCCTTGAGAACTGCAGGCGGTTGTGGCTCAGCTTCCCACCGGCCAGATGCTTAATTCCCTGGCTGAATATGTCAGCTGCTTCCTTTGTGCCCATTCTCCTCCCCTGCTGGTCGCACACCATGCCCCTCGCTGGCCCAACACCTCCCTTCAGGCAGTGATGCTGCCTGGCTAAATGTCCCCAGATGAAGAGGTCCCCACCCGGGACCCTTTCCCCTTGGTGCTACAGGATATAAAAACACAGGACCAAGGCAGCTCTTTCCTCCATGTGGCAGGTGCCTGGCAGCCCCTTTTGCAAGGTGAGGCAGGTAACCTTTGAAAGGTGGCCTTGGCCTCACACTGTGCCTGAAGGCCAAGGGAACCAACATTCGCATAGTGCAGTAGCCTTCCGCGTGGAGATGTTATTATCATCCCGGTTTTACAGAGCGGGAAATGGAGACTCGTATTACACAGCTCGGAACAGGCTGAAACCAATCCTGATGGGCAAGTCCAACAGCAGGGCCAGAACCCCAGCTCCACTGCCTTTAGCAAGACGGGCTGTGCTTCTGAGAGAGCCCAGCGCCCTCCAGGGAGGCTCGGGCTGCAGCTGGGTCCAGATGTCAGGATCGAATCCAGAGTCCCCGTGTTTTTCAGTCCGTCAGCCAGGCCCCTGTGACCTCCTGGTGCTGCAGAGCACCCAGCCCCTCTCAGTGCCTGGCAGTGGACTTCCTGAGCCCTTGAGGTGCAGGCCTGTGGCTCGTCCGTCCCTGGCGGGAAAGGGGAAGTCGCGTCCCCAAGCTAAGACCACAGGGAGAACTGTCTGAGGGAAGAGTGACACAGGCTGTCGGGGAAGAAGGCCGAGGCCCCTGAGCTGCGCCACAGTGGAGGGCTCTGCCGGCACCGCACTAGGCTGAGGTGCAGCCCAGCCCTGTCCAGGGTCTCTCGCTCCACCCCAGGCCTCATCTGCATGCCCAAGGAGCCTTGCATGCCAGATCCAGAGAGGGGGGAGAGGAGGAACGGGGCCTGGCAAAGCCGGTGTAGGCTGGGGATCCCCAGGAGGGAGCAGTGGCTAGGGCTACACCGTCCTTGGGGCCAGTGTACCCCCAGGCTGAGGAGGCTCTGCCCCCTCGGTGACAGGAGCCATGGCCCCCTGGGTATCCCTCGGGCACATCACGCCCCTCCCCAGGCCTGGCCTGCTCCGGGGATGTTTGGCATCTGCCGACGTGGACAGCTGTTGGTCTCCACCCCTCTGTCTTTGCCGGGGCACTCAGATGGGGACCTTGCTATGTCCTTGAAGCATCTGTGTGAACATACAACAGCCAACCTAGTCGCCCCTCCTTGACATCCACAGTACACGGCTTCCCTGCTGCTGGCCAGGGCCTGAGGGACCCGATAGCACCCGCCCAGTGCGCACCCCTGCCTGGCAGGCCATTCCAAGGACAGGATTTGTTGGTCACCTGCCTAGTGGCCTCCCCCCCCAATGGCAACAAACTACCTCTGTGGAACAGCCGAGCACCTCTGCATGCTTCCGGCCTCCGACTTGTGGACAGGTACGAGGATGCTGCGGCTGCGCGACTTGACAGCGAGCTGCTGTTTAGCGGCGGAGCACACAGCCAGGCTGCGCCTCTGGCGTCGGGGGTCTCTGTGGACAGGCTCAGACTGGGAGAGCAGGCAGCTGCCGGGCCTCGGTGACAGATGGCAGGCTCATCCTGGCCGGGCACAACGCCCTGTGCCCACACGATCACTGCGCCCTCCTTCCAGCGGGCCTAACCCAGGCGGCTCCAGAGGGGGCCTGTGCTGCCCACCGCCCTCTGCTCTTGACCCCAGCCCGCATTCAGCTGAGGCAGTGAAGCATGCACTCTCGGTGTTGTCACCAGGGACTGAACCCTCGGCCTTCATATTGAGCTACATCCCCACCCCATCCTCTTCTTAAAAAGAAATTTTGAGACAAGGTCTCAGTACATTTCCCAGGCTGGGCTGGAATCTACAGTCCTCTTGCCTCAGCCTCCCAGAGTGCTGGGATTACAAGTGTGCAACACCACTTGCCCATCCGTCCTAAACATGACCCCAAAACTGGGGTACCTTGCAAGTTGGCTAAGAATGGGGTACGGCTGCTGTCACTGTCACTGTGGATGGCACGCAGGGTCTCCTCCAGGGGCAGAGGAGGGGGCCGGAAGGGGGGCACGGACTGGAGCAGCAGGAGGGAGGCAAACCCTTCCTATCTCAGTCCGGGTCTCCGAGCTATTAGCAGGGACGTGTTAATGAAACTTCACACCCAGGCGCTAATACGCTTAGCCCTGTGCGGGAGGAGAGGCCCTCACAGGGAAGGAGCTGCCGAGGAGCCCCACTTATCTGTGAAAAGACTTGCTAATAACTTTAATTCCCCATCTTGGGCCAGGGGGCCTTTGCTATGCAAATAGACTCTGTAAACAAGGCCGACTTCAGTGGGGTGGAAGACTTCAGGCTCTATCCCAGTTAGGGTTCTAGGAGGGAAGCCAGGTAGCGGCAGAGGTGTGGAAAAAGGGAGGCGTGAGTCCCCCCCAGCCCCCGCAGGGCTTGGCTTTGGATCCACTCTGCAGCCAGAAGTCATGAGGGGTGCTCTGCTCAGGCCTGGACCCCGCCCCTCTCTGCATCACTGCCCCTCCTCGCTGGCCTGAGCCCTGGAAAAGCTCTCCGAAGCATTTTAAAAACGAAAACAAAGGCGCATGTCTGTAATCCCAGCACTGGGCTGAGGCAGGAGGATTGCTGTGAGTTCGAGCCCAGCTGGCTACATAGTGAGTTCAGGGCCATCTTGGACTACATAACAAGAGTCTGTCTCCAAAAAGCAAAAACAAAAGCAAAACCTAGCAATATTCCCAGATGCTCCAGATAAACCTGGGGTAAGGGTAGCGTACGACCCATGTCATCCTATAACAAAAAGGAATGGTGAGTGACGTACGTGACACACGGGTGAGCCTTATCGTGCTCAGAAGCCAGAGGCAGCAGGCCACTTTGTGTGACTCCACTGTGTAATTCTGAACATGAGATGTCTGGAACAGGCAAATCCAGGGACAGAAAATGAAAGCGTGGGGGCTGGGGTGGGGTGGGATGGGAGTAAGGAGGACTATGGGGGAGGTTTCTCTTCAGAGGTGATGAAAATGTTCTAAAATTGGTGGTGATAATTGTACAACTCTATGAATATACCCAAACCGTACACTGTGCACTTTAAAATTAAGGGTGACCAGGGCGGTGGTGGCAGCACCTGTAATCCCAGCACTTGGGAGGCTGACGCAGGAGGATTGCCACAAGTTTGAGCCCAGCCTGGGCTACACAGTGAGTTCAGGGCCAGCCTGCACTACACAGTAAGACCTTGTTTCAAAAACAAAGGTGAATTTTATAGTATGTAATTTATTATCTCGGCTAGGGGATATAGTTCAGCGGCACAGCCCGAGCCTGGCAAGTGCAAGGTCCTGAGTTCGATTCCCTGTTCCAAAAAAAAAAAGCCTCAAGGTAATTTATTATCTCAATCAAGGATGAGATTGAAACACAAAAGCCTGCACTAAGGTCGACCTGAAGGGGAAGAGGGGAGAACTGTGTGTCCACAGAGGCGGAGCCCTTGGCAGAGGTAGCTGAAGAGCTGCAAACGCTTGCGTGGTTGCTCTTGAACCCCTCACCCCACCCCACCCCACCCTGCTGGCTGAGGCGCCCTCTTCTGGGCTGGAGGCTCCCTCTGCCCAGCGCTTCCTGATCTGATACCACCAGTGGGGGCAGCGGTTCAGCAGCCCCAGAGAGACTGCGAGTGGCCCAACAGGTCACCCTCACTCACCAGGGCGGCTCACCAGAGTCATGCGACATAAGTGCAGCCCGGCCCACTGATGTCCTTTGCGCTCTGTATCACAGAAGAGGGCAGACGGGAAATGCCCAAGTCCAAGGTCAGGATGCTGCAGCCCAAAGGGAGTCAGAACTCAGGGCAGAGCCATCCCTTGGAAGCAGCGTCCACTTGGGCCCCATAATGAAGTGAGCTGGCTAAATCTACCAGGGCGCAGAGCTCCAACTCCCAAGCCCTAGCCCGGCTTGAGTGCGGGTCCTGATTCTGTAAAATGCTCGCTGGGGATATAGCTCAGTGGCATAAGCGCCTGCCTGGCAAGTGCAAGGTCCAGAGTTCGGTTCCCGGAACCAAAAAATAAAAAATAAAGGTCTGATTCTGTAAAATGCATATTCAATTCCCCACCAGGTTCGAAAAAAGAGGACAGACCACTCGCTGGCACTTTCCCGTAGGAACTCCCACGCCACCCCTTCCAGGCTGCCCCATGCCGAAAGGAGCGGGCAAGCAGGAAGAGCGCCGGGCCGTGCGCTCGCGGGCTGACGATGATGACCCCTCCCAACGCTCCCGTGTTGCCCTCGGGGGCTTCTGTCCACGTCGAGGAAGAACTGCGCACGGACACCAGTACAAGCTGCTTCACAAATAAATCAATACACACGGCACAGAGCTTCCTACAGCTTCGCAGCGTCACCCCACAGCGCCTCCTGCCAAGGAGGAGTGGGAAAAGGCCGACCTGCTGAGGCCGGCGCCCACCCGCGGGGATGCCCGCGCCAGGGGCGAAAGGGTCGGCTTCCCAGGCGCCGAGGCCAGAAGAGCGTCGGTGCTCGGACGGGGCCCCAGGCGACCACTCCAGGGCGAGGGAGCATCCAGGACTTGAGCAGAGCCAGCTCGTCTCCAGGAAGGAACTGCGCGGGGCAGAGAGGGGAGGAACGATCTGCGAGGACCGCGCCCGTCCCCGTCCCCTGCGCGCGGGCAGGAGGGGGCGCCACCCCGACGGGACGGGCCCTGCTAACCACTAACCACTAACGCTAGCCCGGGACCCGCAGGACGCCCTGCCGCGGTGTGGGCACAGCCTCGCGGGGAGGCCGCACCCGCTCGTAGTCGCCGAGGCCCAGCACGGCCGATAGGTGGCCGATGTAGCGGATGGCCAGGCGCAGCGTCCCCTCCTTAGTGAGGCTCTGGCCGTCGGTGTCGCCCGCCCGCAGCGGCGCTGCTCCAGCAGGGCCCGGGAGTGCGTGCGCATGCGCAGCTCCTGGCAGTAGCTGGCCCTGCCCCGAGGTCCCCCCGCGGGTCCGCACCTCAGGGCGCGGCTGTCCGGGGACCCGGGTGCCCCTAGGCCGGGTAGGGGGAACGGCCGCAGTCTCCGCTGGAGCGCGGCGGCGTCCGAGCTGCGCCCCAGTCCCAGGGCGGCATCCAGGCCCCGCAGCGCTACGGGCGCGCGCGTCTGGGGCACAGGTGTGAAGCGGCCCCTTCCCACCCGCGCGGCACATCAAAGCGGGCCGGGGGATGCGAAGGTGGGGGGCCCTTGGTTGCACACCCCTTCCCCGTGTGGGCCTCCTGCCTGTGCCCTGAGCCTGGCGCTGCCTGCAGGTTAGAACTGGGAGTCTGGGTCCTAGGATTGGGGCCACCTTCACCTGTTGGGGACCTGGAGCAAATTCTTCGTAGTCTTTTTTTTTTTTTTTTTTTGTTTTTTTTTTTAAAAAGTTTTTTTTTTTTTTTTTTTTTTTTTTTTTTTTTTCCAGACAGGGTCTCGCTATGCAGTTCAGGCTGTCCTTGAGCTCATTTTGTAGCCCAGGCTGGTCTTGAACTCGCGACGATCTCCTGTTTCAGCCTCCTGAGTGCTGGGATTACAGGCATGCGCCACCACGCCCGGCCAAATTCTTAATAGTCTTGCCCCTTTCCACTGTGTATAACGGGAGCTTCCGTGCTTGCACCAGCAACTGTGGAATAGAGTGAGGACCAGGAGTGAGACCTACTTCCCTCCAGAGGTGAAGAAGCTGTCCAAGAAGAATCAGGCAAGCTGGCCACATCTGGAGAGCAGAGGAGGGGTAAGCCTGCTAACCCCCCTACGCACCCCTAGCCTGGCCGGACCCAAAGCTTGGCCTCTGGCCACAGCTGCTGCCACTATCCGATCACTGGCATGCTGCCACTTTGGGGCAGGTGTAACAGGTTTGTCAAATGCAATGTGAATTGAAGTGATGCAGAAAACACATTTGACAGAACTGGACACCATTTTGTAATAAAATCTTTTAGCAAACTAAGAACAGAGAAGAACTTCCTCAGCCTGACAGAAGAGCATACAGGTAAACATCGCACTCCATAATAAAACGCTGAAGCCTTTCCCCTAACGTAAGGAGCAAGGTGAGGACGGCCGCTCTCACCACATCTACTCAGCGCCATACTAGCGAAAGAAACGCAGGCGGGAGGGGAGAAATGAACTCCACGCTTGCAGACAGCGCTCAGCACATCACCTCAGGAATGTGAGCGGGCGCCGTCCCCACTGGGCCCTCCACACATGGCCACCTACTCTGCCGCTGGACTGTGGTGCCAGGCATCGTGCCCTTTTCTATTCTACCAGAGCAGCGGCTTCTAGGGTCTCTTTCAGTGCCCATGAAACTGATGGGTGAGCTGGGCTGTGGCGGTGAAGGCCAGGTGGCTTGGTACCTGCTCCCGGAGCATCGGCCCTCCACCGCCCCCGACCTTGTCTCCTTAACACCTGCAGAAGAGTCTGCACTGCTCTCCCAAAGGCTGTCCCAGCACCAATGTCCCACCCAGGAGAGGCAGAGCCACTCCCCTCCACCTGCAGTAGGGTGCATCCTTTCTGGGTGATGCCTTTCTGGGACCCCAGGTCCAACCTGAGAACCTGACCAGAGGGCCCCGTGATTGGGCCTCTTTAGTGGTGCCGAGCCTGAAGAAAAGCAGTTACACATTGGTCACTGCCCGGGGACTGCACCCTGCTGTCCCGGGACTGCCAATCTGAGTGTCCAAAAAAGCCCTTGATTGTGATTCAACACTGGAGCCAGCAGCAGAGGGAGTTCAGAGTGACCAAATACTGGTGTTATCATTGCATCTGTGTTAACTTGAAAACGTAAGCATGCATACTTAACACGTCAAAAAGACCCACAGATACAAAGTAGAACAAACCTCTCTCCTGGGCCGTCTCTGAGGCACCCAGCTGCCAGCTCCAGGGGAAACCACCACTCCTGCCTTCTCGTCAACAGTGCTTTGAAATGGAATTTGTATTTTATTAGCTACAAAATCAACTAGACATATGTGGACAAGGGGCCACATATGTAGCAGCCCTTTGTATGTTGAAAACATGCCTGAGAATTCTCACCTGAAACCTAACAGCATTAATTGAGTAAGTGGGAGCCATGGAGAGATTCACAGCAGGAGAGGGAGCATGATAAGATCATCTCTGTGTTGGGGCGGAGGGAGGATTAAAAAGGCATAGGGGGCCCGATGTGGTGGTGCAGGCTTGTAATCCCAGCACTCTGGGAGGTGGGGGCAGCCGATCATAGATTTGTGTCCAGTACGGACAGTTTAGCAACTTAGTGAGACCCTGTGTCAAAATTTTAAAAATTACAAAGGGCTGGGGATGCAGCTCAGGGCAAAGGCCCTGGGTTTAATCCTTAGCGCCATGGAAGGGAGGGGAGGCAAACAAGTGTGGAGGCAAAGAGCCCAGCAAGATGGCACGAGAGAGGCGGGGCGGCGGCGTCGGGGTGCAGACGGGTGAGACCCCAGCCCTATGCCTGGGTCTCCTGACCTCAAGGCTGACGCGTGGTACCCTCCCTCCCACTGCCCCAGGGGTCTCTGGGAACATACTGGAGCCCGGCTGAGCCAGGCCCTCTCTCTGCCCGTCCTCTTTGATCTCCTTATCGTGGCCAGCCTCTCCCCTCTCTGCTGGGAGCTGAGTTAACGAGTTCTCCAGGCGCACGGCCCACTCGCCCTCCTGCCAGGCAGAGGCCTTCACACTTGTGGGGCCTGTGTTTTGACAAGTGCCGGAGCCAGTGGCTGCTGCCCCCTGCCCGAGCCTGCCCTGCCCTGCCGACGACGTGTAAGGCTGGGAAAGGAGGCCAGGGTGCAGCCCCACCGGAGCAGAGGCGGGAGTCTGGGCCCGAGCAGGGTGGGGACAGGCAGGACCGCAGGCCCCTCAGGCCCCAACCCCAGCCTTCCATCTAGGCCCGGCTGCTTCCTCGGGCTAGGCCCAGTCCTGGCACTGTGCCCCCTGCGCCGGCCCGGCTGCGGTGCCCTCATTTCCCAGCCAGCCCTCCACACCCACACTGGAGTGCTAATCAGAGGTGCGAGGTAAATACCTCCCTTGCAGCTCTAATCCCAACCCGGCTGGAGCCAGCAGCCCCAGGAGAAGGAAGTGGCGCTGCCACTAGCCTTCTTAGCATCAGGGAAGCTCCTAATATTGGTGTCCCAAATAGCCAGGGACCTTCCAGCACCTCCACAGCAGCCCTGTAGGGGAGAGGGGTCAGCAAGAAGCCCCCACCTGCAGGAGGCCCCCACGTTCCCTGGAGTCAGGCCTGCGGTTAGAGCCCGTGTTCTTTCAGCTCTCCTCCAGGCAGTCCCCTCTGTGTCTCAGGGCCACGGCTGCTGTGCCATGGGGACTGTCCCCAGGGGTGGCTGGGCTCTGCTGACACTCAGCACACCGATGTAGGCACGTGGGCCCCCTCAGCAGACAGGGAAGCAGAGGCGCTGAGAGGGTGTCTCATGTCACACAGCGGGCAGGGCAGACCTGCGGACCAAAGCCTGTGTTCTGCCCTTCCTCCCTCTCCCTATCTCCTCTGGAGGATACGAAGGCTTCCTTTCATCCTGAGGATGCCCTGGGAGTGAGGGGGACCCCAGAACCCCCAAGTCCACCACAGGCCTTGCTTCACTCCCAGAGCCCCTAGGGATGTAAAAAGGGTTTTCCAGGCCACTGGAACTGATGGACCGGAACCCTAGAGGGTGGAGCCTGAGGGTCTGAGGCATGATGGTGCATGCTTGTCATCCCAGCACTGCAGCAGGCTGAGACAGGAGGGTCCAAAACATGAACCCAGCCTGGGGAACTTAGCAAACCCTGTCTCAAACTAAGAAAAGGGCTGGGGATATAGCTCAGTGTGAAGGCCTTGCATAAACCAAAAAAATAAAAATAATAAAATCTCCCCAGAACTGTGAAGCAACACTACCCCCCAACCCAGAGAATTAAAAGGCCACTGAGGGGGAGGACCCTGCCTCCCGCCCCTAGATCCAGTCCCCCATGGGTCACAAGTAGATGAAGCAGGACCCAGAGCAGTCAGAGGTCCAGCAACCCAGGCCCCAATTCCTTCCCCCTCTGCTCCTGAGGCTCCCAGGGGAGCCCCTCAGGTACCATCACCCCCTCACACCTCCAGACGGGAGCCGAGCTGGCCAGCCATCTGGAATAGATTACTCTGGACCCATAATCTGATTATCTAGCTGTGGACCCGCTAGGTGCTCAGCCAGTGGCGTCACGGGCAGCCTAGGCTGGAGGAGGGGGTGGGAAGAGAAGAGAGAGATTTGGCTTCCGGGAAAGGCTCAGGAGGTGGGTCGGGCTGCTGATAATGCCCAGTGAGTAGGTAGCACCTCTCTCCCTCGGGCATCACACTTAGCTCCTTTGCTTCATCTGGATGAGTGGGGGTGGGCCTGAGCCTCAGAGTAAAAAGTGGAGAAACTGAGGCATAAAGAGATAAGCCACTGTCCCAGCCCAAAGCAAAGGTGCAGACTGTGAATGAGGGGAAACCTGACACCTGTACCTCGGTTTCTCCACCTGTACAGCGGAGGAGGGGCCCTCAGAACTGCCTGCCTTGGAGGAAGTCCCCCCTTCTCTGGCCAGAGGACCGGCCCCTCGCTTTCTAGTGTCCTCGCAGTCCCTGATGCTGCCAGCAGAGGGCGCCACACAGTCACCTGGGAACTTTGCACCTGAGCCAGGCAGCCCTTCCTCCAACTTTGAGAGGACTTAAAAAAAAAATTCTTTTTTATTTTATTATTTTATTTTACAGTACTGAGGATTGAACCCAGGATCTTTGCACTGAGCTACATCCCCAACCCTTTTTAGCTTGTTATTTTGAGATAAGTTCTTGCTAAGTCATTAAGTTCCCCAGACTGGGCTTGAACTTGCCCAGCCTCCTAGAGTGACCACTGTGCTCCTGGCTCAGCCTTCCAGAGTGACCACCGTGCCTGAGGAGAGAGGGCTTTTTTCTGGGGCTTGGGCCATGAGGCCAGGCTTGAGCCCAGGGGTAAGGGTGCTGGGTGGATGTGTCAGGGATGCTGGTCTTTAAGAAGTGGGTGATGTAGCCAGGCATGGTGGCACACACCTGTAATCCCAGCACTCGGGAGGCTGAGGCAGGAGGATCACTGCAAGTTCGAGACCAGCCTGGGCTACAAAGAGAGCTCAAGGCCAGCCTGAACTGCATAGCGAGACCCTATCTCTAAAAGACAAGAAAAAGAAGTGGGTGACGTCTGGCTCAGTATCCACACAATAGGCTGTGTGAACCCAGACAGGCTGCTTGCTTTCTCTGAACCCCAGGCCTCCAAGCCCTCTCCGGCTGTGCTGCTGCCCTCACTGCCGCCCGCTGTGTTTGTGAGGAGGCAGAAAACAGTCGGGGAGCGGGGGCGGCAGGACCCTGTCCCAGGACCAGGGTCCCATAGCCAGTGGCTCCAAGCTGGAGAACGCCCACTCAGTGTGACACCGTGGTCTGATGAGCAAAGCCAAAAGAAACCCAGAACCTGAAACACAGCAGAGCCATTGAATGATGCAGCGTGACTGCCAGGGCCTGATATCTGTGGTTTGTTTGTATTTTGTGGTGATGAGGACTCAACCCAGGGACTTTATGTTCAGCTACATCTCCAGCACTTTTATTTGTTTGTTTGTTTGTTATATTTTGAAACAGTGTACTTGAAACAGGTTCTTGTCAAGTCACCAAATTGCTTAGGCTGGGTTGGAACTTGTGCTCCTCCTGCCTCAGCCTCCCTGACTTCTGGGATTTTAGGCCTGCGCCCCCATTGCCTGTTTTGTGCCTGCATTTTATACATAAACATTTATGTATAAAAACCTCTGCACAGAGCCCTCAGGAGGCGCGCCAAGCAGTCACATGTCATTCAGGGACAGGGATGCCTTCTCTAAATGAGCCATTAGGGATTTTGTTCCTGTGTGACCATAAGAGAATGAGCCTATGCTAACCAAGGTGGCCTCAGCCTGGCCAGGTGGTGCATCTCAGGGACCACAGTCTGTCCACTGCTGCCTGCTACACTGTCATACGGCATGTGACTGTGTGGAATCGCGTCCTGTGTGGGGCTGGGGGCAGGTCTGGGCTCCGGGCGGTGGTCAGAGACTGTAATCTTATCTGCAGTGTGACCGTGTCTCACAAACAGACTGAATTCATGTGTTACATGTGCAATTTAAACATGATTTTTCAAACACAGGTTAAGGAAAACCTTAAGGAACCTCAGTCTACACAATTAACTAAACTGTTAGGACCAAGCCATGGACTACCAAGAATGCCTCAAAACTCTCATTCAAAAAAAAAAAGCAAAACAGAACAAAAAAACCAACTGTCATGCCAAAGCCTGGGGTGGTGGTGCAGTCCTGTAACCCCAGCTAGTCAGGAGGCTGAGGCAGGGGGATGGAGAGTTTGAGGCCAGCCTGGGCTACCTAGCTAGACCCTGTCTCAAAATAAAAAAACTATAAAAGGGCCAGAGATGAAGATCAGTGGCAGAGCACTTGCCTAGCGTGTATGAGGCCCTGGGTTCCACCCCGGCATGGCGATGTGGCTGAGCCTCCAAGAATTACTAAGTGAGATGAGCCAAACATCTAGGCCAAAGGCCACATGATTCACATAAATGAGATCCCTAGACTAGGCAGATCATAAGACAGGAAGCAGATTACATTATCAAGGATGGGGTAAGGGGGAGGGGCAGGAGGGCGATATTGCCCAATGCCTAGAGAGCTTCCCCTGCAGTGAGGAAGCCATTTTGGAAATAGGCATGGTGACAGGCTTGCAGAGGGGTGCGCTGGGTGTAATTAATGCCACGGAATTTCCCATCTGAAAACAGTGAAGCCGGGCTTCGTGGTGCAACCACAAAGTTCATGTAACCCCAGCTGTGGGGGAAACTGAGGCAGGAGGCTGAAAAATCCAAGGCTGGCCCGGATAACCTAGCAAGACCCTGTCTAAAAGTAAAACTGGAAGGGCCAGACATGTAAACCAAGGGTGGCTGCAGTAAGTGGACAGCTTTGGATTCAATCCCAGAACACACACACACACACACACACACACACACACACACA